AGCACACACACACACACACACACACACACAAATCCACCCATCCATAAGAAATATTGTTTATTGTTTTTGTTTGTTTATTGTTTATTTGTATGCTGCCCTTTTCCCTGATTGATGAATCATCACCAATAATCCATCAATAGCATTGATTTATCAATAATATGTGATTGATATTACATATATCTGGTTGGGGGTCAGGTATATGTAATGATCTGGTTGGGGGGGGGCAATATTGGGCCAAAAGCATGTTTTTTAAAGGCCACAAAAATGGGGGGGGGACTCTCTTTCAAACACCCCCCCAACTGCAAAAAAAAAGGGGGGGGAGAATGGAGGCAGGATTCCAACTCCCCTAAGCCACAGCCAGCAGAGAAGCCTGAGGGGCAGGGGGAGGCTTCATGCAAAGCATCTTCTCCCTAGGAGGGGAAGGAACTCTGCACATGGTCAGGGGCTCCCTTGAGCCCCCCGTTTGGCCAATGGGGGGCTTCCTTCCCAAGGAAAAAGGCAGCGGATTTGGATCCACCCAGGAAATGGGCCCCTTTGGCGGCTCTCCACGCTGCACTGCAGACGCATAAATCCAGGAAAAAGGTGGCAGCTTAGAAAATAAAATAAAAAATAAAATAAAATCCGATTTTTGGCGGTCATTAAACATTGCAATGAGATATCTCTCTCTATTGCAACATCGGATAGGCAGACAGCAATAAGCTAATAATACAATAATATACTCTAATAATAATCCAATGCAATAATATGCATATATAATAAAATAGTCATAATAGCAATATATGCATACATATATATTGCAAAAGGTGCTTCTCCCTGCTTATCTGATGCACGTCACTTCCCCAACGCGGCGCTGCTTTTTTGGGCTTTTGCAAACCAAAAGCAAAATTTAGATATGGGGGGAAAAAAAGTGCAACGGTTCAAATGAAGTTGCATTGCCCCCCCTGCCCTCTCCGCACACGGCACACGCTTACCGGTTGCTCTTCCAGCGGCTGCAGCTGCGCCAACGTGCAAAGGCCCCGCGAAGCGCTCATCTCCGCCGCGAGGCTCCGGCGCGAATGAGGCGGAGACCGCCACGCCCGCCGCTTATATACCGGCCACGCCCCCCTCCTGACGCAGCCAGCGTTCCGAACCGCTCCAAGCCACGCCTTTCCCCACGCCACGCCCCTGCTGGAAGGTGGTTGGCCGGTCTGCTTGAGGCCTCGCGCCGCGGGGCGGAGCGGGGGGGGGGGGGAGATGGGGAAGAAAGAGCCTTCTCGGGCTCCGCCCCTTCGCCTCTCTCTGCTCCCGCGCATGCGCCTTGTCCCCTAGTGTTCTCTTACCTAAATAACTTTATTAACTAAGGAATTAGAATTTCTTTTTCTGTCTTCGTTGTGATTTGTATTGTGTTGGGAGTGGGGGGGGAGGGAGCCCTGAGGGATCTCAACCAAACTCATTATACATATGTTGTGCACTGACTGTGGGAAGTTTATCACCCAGCCCTCTCTCCCAGAAAAATGAAATATCCTAGGAAATATTGAATATTTCTCTGGGTGTGAAAAAGAAAGAAGCATGTTTTAAAAGACAGAATTAGTTGCCTGTAGCTTCCTGCCCATCCCCAGTTAATGGGCCATTGAGACTAGCCAGGCTAGCCCACTTTACATAACAAAGACTTCACCAGCAGGTACAGAAAGGCATGATAATATACTCAACTGACCACAAGGCATCTGAGAACTCATCACAGCCCCCTGCATGGCATCATGGGAGCCTGACAACCAATCAGAACACATTTCTTACACGGGAACGGGAAACAGAGAGGTGGGACTAAAACAGGGTCTAAAAAGCCTAGCAAGCCCCTCCCTCAGCCCTTCTCTTCTTCTCCACCAACCCTGAAGCATGTGACCCCCTTTTCTGTTCAGGGCTCAAGCCAC